AAAGAGGCTAGTAGGGCTGGAACAGAGTAGGTGAGATACAGAGACATAGCATTATCTGTCTTAAGATTAAAAATATTATCCAGGTGCAGTGATGAGAAAAGGACATGAGAGAAAACAGGAAATCATTTAGGAGTTTCCACAATAATCATCTGGATAGCTTAGACTAAGGAAAGGAGATGTAAAAAAAATATTCTAGATATTTTTAAAAATAAAAAGATTCATTAATGTGATATGTAGCAGAAATAAAGATGATTCCAAAACCTTTGATCTGAATTCCTAAAAGGAGGGAATTATTATTAACTGAGATGGGAAGATGTCTACACTTACAAGTTTAAGAGGAAAGACAAGGGTGAGACATCTAAGTGTAGGTGCCAAGTGTGTAGTTGTGTTTTAACAAAATAACCAAGAAGGGTGGTACACACTTGATATTCAATAACTATTTATTTTTCTCTTAGAGGAAACACCATTATTATAAATGCTGAAGGATTTCTAAGTTATTTCATATTGGAATGTTATCATTTAAATCACTGTATTAAAATCACATGTCATTAAAATGTAATTTTAACCATATCAGTATTAATGACCTAGGAAGAAACTGAAATGACCTCAAATCTCTGTAATAAATTAATAAATGAAAAGACATTCTTGCCTTTAACAGATATAATAGATCCAACTCTCATTAAAGCAATGACAGTAAGCAAAGTTTATCTTTAAGACTTCTAACATCTTTCCTTTCATTTGCAACTGGAAGACAGTCTTCCAGTCTCACCTCACAACTCTTTGTCTAAGAATTTAATTAAATCTTGATGAAAACTGCTTTCTATTTCTGGAAGTCTCTTTTGTGACTAAGCAAGTGGATGGTAAAATTTTTCAAATAAAAAGACCTCATTTCTTACCAGATTGCCTTAAGAAAGTTTGAAAAGAACAAGCAAAGATAGTGAGAAAAAGGACAATCCAACTACATTAAATCAATGTAGATTTGTCTAATATTAATTAGTCAAATATTTATATGAGTCTGGAGCTATTTAGATTTTGAGGATAAAGTTATAAAGATTACTACGTGTGGTACAGAATGTGTGTGTATGAGAGAGAGCGAGAGACAGAGACAGAGACAGAAAGAGAGAGACAGACTCCCTTCTGACCTCATAAAAATGAAGAAACCCAGAAAGCACATAAACTTGGATACCGACTTCCTTCAGGAGTAGTGCACTAGGATTGGATACTCACTCCTTCTGTCCTTTGCACTACTTGAAAAAG